GTTGGGACTACAGGTGCACACCATCATGCTCAGATAATTGTTTACATTTTTGGTAGAGACGGGATCTTGCTTTGTTGCCCAAGCTGATCTGAAACTCCTGGCCTCAGGTGATCTTTTCACCTGGCCTCCCAAAGCACTGCTATTATAGGTCTGAGTCACCTCAGCTAGCCTGGGGCGAGTCTTTGCACACTGGCTTCCCTGGAGAGGGTGAAACAGCTCTCCCCAACTGAGGCAAGTCCCAAAGAGAGAGAACAGCTGAGAGCTGTCAGCTAACAGACTTTCCAGCAGCTGCTGTGTCTGGGAAGACAGTACAGCATCGACAACAACACAAAAAGGCCTAGCATGATGACCTTCACACTGTATCTCACTGTGACATGGCCTGGGCCGGTCACTCCCCTCTGGCGATCTGGTCTCAGTCCGTCCGCTGTCAGTGAGCATGTGGGTTAGATATCCAGGAATGTTCTGCCTTGCTTTCGGAATCTATTACCATCTACTCTAGGGGAGAATCTCTGCGTGGGAATGTCAGAGGTGACACGCCTTCTGATGCTTCTCATCTGCCCAGATTGGTGCATTGTGGGAAACAGGGCAGATGTGCACAGTGGACATGCAGCTGTGTATAAATGCAAGAAGGCAGCGTGGACTGGTCAGGAGAACTCCACACCGAGAGTCCAAGACCTGGGCTCTGGTCCCATGTCTGCCTCTGATTGTTGGAGGATCTCGGGCAAGTTCCCCTGGGGAAGAGGAGTCGGCTTTGGAAGCTCTGAGAGACCCTCCAGCTTGAGGGGGCTCTCATGTCCTGTGCCTCATCTCTCCACTCAGTGCCCAGGGAACCAGCATCCTTCGTAATTAGTTGGGGTCTGACCTTTGAGCTGGCACTGGGTCCCCACACAGCCCCCGCCCCTGATGAAGCGGGGTGTATTCCACTCTTGCTAGGGGCAGGCTGGAGTACCATTTGATGAAGGCAGTGACCCCTCCTCTCAGCATTCCACAGGCTGACAGGAGGGGGCTTCAATCAACAAGCCCAAATAAGAACTAGCTGGATGACAAGTAACAGAAGTCAACTGGGGACCTCATGAGGGACTCAAGAGGTCACCAGGAAAAGTTGAAACTGAGATACAGAAAGAGAAAAGCCTTAAGAAGAGATCAGTGAACCAAAGTCAGGGTGAGTAGAAGCCATGGGGTAGAGAAGGAGTTGGCAAATCCAGGGAGTTGAGAATAGCTTTCACATTATTTTATTTTATTTGAGACAGAGTCTCAGTCTGTTACCAAGGCTGGAGTGCAGTAGTGCATTCATGGCTCATTGCAGCCTTGACCTCCTGGGCTCAAGTGATCCTCCTACCTCGGCCTCCCAAGTAACTGGAACTACAGGGGTGCACCACCACACTTAGCTAATTTTTAAATTTTTTTTCTTTTTAGAGATGGGGTCTCTACATTGCCCGGGCTGGTCTCGAACTCCTGGCCTCAGGTAACTCTCCCACATCGGCCTCCCAAAGTGCTAGGATTACAGGCATAAGCCACCACACCTGGCCAGCAGCTTTTTGCATTTTTTTTTTT